AACATAGGCAGTTCCTCTGATGTTGTCCATGGGCGATGATGACCACCTCACATTCACATAAAAAGCTTAGAAATTTAATGGATGATACCCTTTAACCCTAAAGTTTGTTACTTAATCTTCTTCGGGACTCTGTCTTACGAATGAGTACCTATTAGTGTTCACAGTGACAATTTCCAGTGTAATTTGCTTACCTGTGAAATAAGAGACATGTTTGAATTTGTATTTAAATATGAACAGTTTACGCTGTGGGTACTTATAACGTGACAAAATTGGTTTATACATTTTGGTCTAGTGCTGCCTAGACAAAAGTTTGCGTACACCTGTCGGTTCAGGAGAGTTCAAAACCCTCACTTCCCGGTGCCTCGTCTGCAGCCAGTCACACTTTAGTGCTCTAGCCGTGCGCGTACGCATCTTTCAAGGTACATTATATTTTTTAATACTGTACACTAGGCCAGTAAGGAGGAAAATAATCTTTCGTAGAAACAATTCTCTGGACTAATCATTATTGTTTCTTTTAGGAGACCCAAGTACACATTTGTATTGTATTAGCTTTGTATCGTTAATAAGTGTGTTAATCTTTGCATATAATATAACTATATACATAACATAAAGCATACGATCATATATAGTGTATGATTAAGTAATTCAAAGATTTTTGACTAATAACTTAACACTGTTCAATAATTTCAATAATTTATTTTTTTCTTCTTTCTGTAGTTAGTTTTTTTTACAATACGCACAATGACTGAATGTATTGATTTCCATGTTCATTTGAATTTTTTGAATGAATCATTACAATGTGTATAAGATTCATTTAATTTATTTCCACTGGAAAGTCTGGAAGAATCTATCGTTACAACATTGATATACGCTACCCATTCGCTTTGTTTCCTCCTCCTTCCGCCATCCGTACAACGTGAGACTATTTGGACAAACCGACGCGTACTATATGCAGTCACGTGTCTGTCTAAGTTATATTTAAATAATCAGTTCCATTTTACCAATTTACGTTTTTTGATTTTAAAATATAATTACGCATTTGACCTTTATTGATGAACAGTGATGATGAGGTCGACGATGGAGCATACACACTTAAATAATGCCTATTCACTCTCGTCTTGAAGAGGCCCGAGTTGTAGCGTTCAGGGAATAAGTCTGCAAGCAGGAAATTCCACTCCTTAGCCGTTCACCATGTAAATGTGAAAGCGTGAATGCTTCGTGCGAATACTTGGAATATCCATAACATAGGGGTGCCCAAACCGGTGACGGAAAGGGGAAGGCGGAATTAAATCGTGAAAAAGATTCCATCGCACACTCTCCTGCACAATACTTTTACATGTAATGCCTGCATAGAGAATCTGCTGTCGGTTAAAAATATATTTCAAGGCGTTTAAAAATATAACATACATTCTCTCTTCCATTCACAGATGCAGTGTTTCATCTGCGTGACATACATGTTTCTCATGTGCGGCGCCCGTTTGGGCGCCCACCCTGGCGCTCACCCAAGCGATCACCACAGCGCTACTCGAGAAAACCCCACACAGACAGCGCAACGCTCCCTTTTCCATGACGTAATCGAGTCTTTGCGCATTCGCTCTCAATTACCCGACGACAATAACGAAAATAATTTATCCCAAAACTATGAAAGATACGGTTATGAGAACGAGCCTCAACTACCAAGCGATGCTGACTTTATCCCTAGAAGAAATGACCGAATAGAAATGCCAACATTGAAGTACCGTTTTCCGAAAAGTCTTTCAAACGATACTGAGGACGCTGAGTCATCTAAAGAGGAAATCGTAGTTTTTATTGCTACAACAGTTGAACCAAAAACAACAACGGAGAAGCCTAAGAAACAAAAACGTCCGCGACCACCAGTTAATAAGAAACCAAATAAAAAAGATGAAGACGATCAAGTTTTGCCAGAATTCTATCCCAGTACAAATACTATGGCCGGACAAAGTCAAATAGGGAACAGAGAATCGCAATTAGTTGTCAAACCCACTGTGATCGTAAATTTACGCGGTACAGTTACACATAGAGAAAGTGACATCAGAATTGAAGGAAGAACTCAAAATGATACTCAGACAGCTTCTGAAATACCTTATAACATTTTTAATATCAATCAGAGAATTCTACTTGAGAGGACTTTTGGTACCATGGGAAACAGTGTATTGAAGAAAGCTGATGATGAAAGGGTAAAAGAAGGCAACAGCTGCGATTCTAAAGAGGCATCCAATGAGAATAGAAAAGAAAAAAAAATTGAGAATATTATGGAAGTTTGGTTGGATCTCCCTAATATTAATTTGCGAGAATAATATTAAGTTTAAATAATTAATTTCGAGACTGATTACTTTTAATTTAAACACAAGTGAATTTGAATATGTTAAGGATATATCGATTTAATGTTGTCCCTAAGTTTTACGACGAATAAATAATATTAAATAAGGAAAAAATATTATTATTTCCTCTGAACTAGCTTATGTAATTTGTGAAAGTGTTTTTTGATCTTTTAACGCAATTGAATGGCAAAAAGGTGCTATTCGACATATTGTATTAGATATATGTAAATGACTTGAACAAGTACGGTGACATAATAAATTACACTGTACCTACCGCAAGTTCTTTCTCATGACATGACTCCAGATTCCACACAAATTTGATTCAAAGTGTATTCCATAGCATTTAGTTGAAAAGAGCAGCACCTAGAGTTTCTTGCTTGTTCTTCTCAGGGACGTTATCAAAGTCAACGAGCAGTAGCTTAAATAAAATACCTTTTCAAGTGTAAATTTATTTGATCTATCTATGGAATAAATGATTATTTGACTTCAACTCCCTATTAAATTTTTATCATGGATTTAGTAGCGCCTACCACAAAATATACAAGCAATAGTTATTAAAAATAAATTATGGCGTATAAAAACACAAGGAGTTAATAGATTCATCGTCTCTTATCATCATTAGACAATTCTACACATTTTTAAAGCGTTTTAGAAAATAAAAATAAGTAAAGAAAACATTAAGCAATTAGCTAGTAGTTTTTATTGGTTTGCTAAAGTTTCTAAATACAAAGTCAATGCCTCTATAAACTTATCTAATAAACACTTTTGTAGTAATCCATAAAAAAGCTTCCGTACAAATTGAGACTCTACACCTACAATCATACGAATCATAGAATAGGTAAACGAATTAAATATACTTAAGATCGTAAAACAGCCATATAACAGAGATTCCTTGTGTGGTGACTTTTATTGGCGGACACGCACCGTTAGTGTCCTAGTAGATCCCACGCTACGTAGCCTCCTGTTTACTGATGAAAAATTATATTTAGCCAAGTTAGGTCCTTTGTCTAATAGAGCAGAGGGGAGAAAAGGTCTATCAAATGTGGTTATGCCTGGTGTAGAGAAGTTACAAAAAACTATGAGAATGTTATCCTCCATTGCTACTGCAAACAGTTGAAGGGGACCGCTCATATGTCCTCAAAATGTCGCAACTACATGGGCTAAAAAAGCAATATAATGCTCTAACCTGTAAATTATACAACAGGGTAAACAAATTAACTCACATTCATACAATGTCGAAGTATGCAGTTAAAAAAGTGCTCCAAGACACACTTTTAACTGTAAATTATCATGACACCGAAAACCTGTTCAATGTGAA